AGCTCTGATCCCCAGCAAAAGCCAAGCTCTTAGCTGTGGCTTAATGAGCCTAAAGCCTTAGCCCGGATTCTCTGAGCCAAAACTAAGAGTCTGAGGCTAAATCCAGGCTCGAAATTCGCTGGGAGCACAGGTAGGGTCAGTATTGGGGATGCGTGCAAGTGCTGATAATAAGCCGTTCAGAGGATTACATTAGTGCCACATCGCAGTCGGCTTGGGAACTGATGTCTAATTATTTTGGAATGACCTTATGCCTCCAAAAATTGGATGAATACAGCGACGGTCGGAGTACGCGCGAGAAGCTCCGTGCACCACCACGATTTGGCGGCTGTTGACGCTGCGTTTGGCCAGCAAGGGGCAATGGATGTGCAAGGCGGACGAGCCAAGTGCCCTGCCGTAAGATTTGTTTCTGCCAAGCCTGGGTTAGGTTAGCCTTCGGCTGCAATTTATGAGCCTTGGACAAAACAGAATGAAGATATGAGGCGTCGAATATGTGCCTGTGTATCACAAGGCTCATTTCTGGTGCGTGAAAGATCAGACTCTCGACGGCAACCAAGCTTTGTTTGTTGAGTATTTCGATAAGATCTGTTCTGCCTCATTTGTCTATTTTCCGGCCTCTAAACTCGTCTTCTATGTCGCACTACTATATAGTTGCGAGTTATCATGCGAAATAGGGTGGGTGGTACTAAATAACACGACCCTCTTTCCCCACAATCTACTTCCCGCTTCAATGACGCTTGACCGCCATAAAAGCCTATCACACTAAAACTTGGTTGTTGGATCCTGAAGGTTTGGAGCTTATTGATTTGAGCACTACATGCTCAAGGGTGCTCCAGAAATTGCATTTGCCAAGAATGGTTGACAGCCATTCGGTAAGTTTCTGCCATTTTTATTTGAGTAATTTTACGATTCTCACACACTTAAATGCGTATATCTCATAATGTACATTACGTCCCCACCATGAGATAGCTGTGCGCAGCGGAAGAGATGCTCCTCAAGAGACCAGAACCACCTCCACTCTTCTGCCCGACGCGCCCGTCCGAAATGCGCGTTGCCCCTATATATAGCGGCGAGAATGTCCCGCATGTTACAGTGAAGGAAAAGTCAGAGGGGAAAGTGGTTTTGGTATTTACATAAAGACTTAGTAGGGAAAAACAAAATTGTTCGATTCTCACAAGTCCCGGACCCAACCACGAAAGCGGAAAGCTATTCAAATATGACCTGAATTTTGGATGTTTGTGTAAAGCGGACAATCACCATGGAGGTGGCTTTGGAATCCAAGTTTCTAAGATAATACACTCATTTTAGAACTAACGATTGGATTCCCTCACTCGATAGGAATTGGAATATCGCTAGCCTCTGTAATGGGACCAATTACTTTAGTGTCCACTTCCTTGTACCTTTGGCAATATGTTAGCATGCTAAAAATGGTAGGGGAAGATTTGCTAACCAGTCCTTCATTTCAATCGCGTATGGTCCGCCGTCCTCTAAGACAGTCTCTCGTCTAAGAACATCCTCAACGGCGCTCCAAATCATTCCCGTATTATCCCAGCACTTCTGCTCATCCCACTCCTTGGGAATCTCGATGACCACGGGTGTTTTAGCTAATGCCTTATCAAGCACTAAAGGATTGTCCTTGGGCTTCCAGAACCAACGTGGGACAAGCGCTAGAACTTTGAGCGTTGGAGGTGAAGACCACGTTTTGAGCCACTTTTCTTTAGGCATTCCGATACAGTTGACGACAAGGTGGGTGATACAGGGAAAGAGGTCCAATAACCATCCTGGTGGTCCTTTATGATCCTTGTATATTGCGATGATATGTGTCACTGTTCTGCAAGCCGGTCGAGAAGCTAATCGATTCAAAAATGAAGGGGCCAAGTCGTTGTAATGGAGTTCTAATCCAAGTTCTCGAAGGGAGGGTATATTGAGAAGAAGTGATAGAACATCCTCCTCTCGCTCAGGAACGTGCACTGCCGCTCTTGTGAGACCTGAGAAGAAAGGAAGCAGTGCTACGGCCAGGTCCGGCATATGAGGAGGCTCTGTTGGCGCCTTGAACCACAGCGAGTCACTTTTGCTTGCAAAGCAATTAGGGTGATGCTGTGCGAATGAAAGGATTTCTTCTAGGTTAGCCGGCGCATCCAGGTACAAGTGTCTGTAAACGATATCTTCCACCCTGGTTAAAAAAAAGTAATGATCAAAATATCAACTCTCCACATTGAACCAGTTCAGAAGCAAAGGAACATGCCATGTTTGAGTGTCTTTGGAAACGAGAATAAAACTGAGCTGTTCTTTCTTTGTCATCGCTGACAGAGCAAGATGCCAAATGGAACCTTGAAGCTCCTTGGGGAGTGTCAGAAAGCTGTGGAAGCCATTGTCAGACATGATGGATTAGATTTTCGGCTGCTCCCTTAATTGTCAGTTCCCACGTGAAAAATCAGAGTGCAAGTGTCCTCACCGAGCGGTTCAAGCAAGTTGCAACAGCTCTACAAAACACTGGCATTTATATAAAGCTACCCCGAAACGCGAGCACGTGCTGTACACCTGCTGTGTCGCAATGCCTCCCGAGGGCTGAGGATTGCGAGACTCGCGTGGCTAGGAATTCATGTACAGCATTTTCTAAAGAATCAGTGCTTGGCAATTTAGGCTGCAAGTTGCCTGTCTCCGGAGATTGGCATGGCTGACAAGAGGTGAACATATTAGATGAGACAAAAAAGCATCGCATCACGGTAGTGACCTGGATATTCGGGAGAAAGGAAAATACAGAAAACGAAGGTCTCATAACCCGCCAGCTTGATGTTTGTTTCGCAAGAACTACCAGGTTCGCATCCAAGTCGGTGTTGATAGAAAAAGAGACCAGGGTAAGCGCCGATCCTCTTACTCCCAACGATGAAGGTGGTCGAGCAAACTATCGCTTTTCCGGGTTACCGTAGGACCCTGACCTGTTCTGATGTAAAGGAGGCATCCTTTCGATGAGTACAAGGCACCAGGCTATGGCGTAACCACCGCGTGATCACGTATAAAAGGCATCACGTCTCTGTTCTCTATCTCTTCACTCTTGTTATCATGTCTTCCAACGCCTTCTACAAGTGAGTTCTCTCTATTACGAATTCTCTGCGATTCCAATGTATTTTCTTTTCTTTAGAGATCCCGAATTCGAGACTCTTCAGTTGCATGGAGGCCAGATTCCTGACCCAACTACGAACGCGCGCGCCCCTCCCATCTATGCATCTACCAGTTTCGTCTTCAATAGCTCCGAACATGCAGCCGATTTATTCGGATTGAGGGCGATGGGAAATATTTACAGTCGCATTGGCAACCCCACTGTTGACGTCTTCGAACAACGTTTGACCTTGTTGGAGGGAGGTGCTGCTGCTGTTGCCACCGCGTCTGGCCAGAGTGCTCAGTTCCTAACTATTGCTGCGTTGACTAGACCGGGCGATAACATTGTTTCTTCCACCTTCCTGTACGGAGGGGTACGTTTTTTCTCTAACCCTACACATGACCAATTTTGCTCACATTTTCGTTAGACGTATAATCAGTTCAAGGGTAAGGAAGCTTCAAGATGTGTTACACTTTCCATGCTCAGTCTGTCATCCAGTTACTTTCAAGAGACATTTGGATGTTGGCGTCAAATGGGTCTCAGTCGACGATCCCGATGCGTTCGAGAAGGCGATCGACGACAGGACGAAGGCCATTTTCATAGAAAGCATTGCCAATCCCAAGTACATTGTAGCTGATATTCCCAAGCTCGCTGAGGTACGCTTCCCCCATTTATATCCTCAATTACCACCTAACCTTTTTTTTTTTTGCCAGATTGCCCATAGGCACAAGATTCCTCTCATTGTCGATAACACGTTCGGTATTGGAGGATATCTGGTCCGACCTTTCGAGCATGGTGCCGACATTATCGTTCACAGTGCTACGAAATGGATTGGTGGTCATGGAACTACGATCGGAGGTATTATCATCGATTCCGGCAATTTCGACTGGGCAGCCTCTGGCAAGTTCCCCAGTTTCACAGAACCGTCGGAGGGATATCATGGACTTGTGTTCTCTCAAACGTTTGGGAAAGTCGCTTTCGCTGTTAAGGTTCGCACTGAGGTAAGAACATACATGTATTGTGGAGGTCTAGGTGTTCACTATCGTCTTCATCTAGCTTCTTCGCGATATTGGTCCTTCCCAAAATCCATTCGGCGCGTTTTTACTCCTCCAAGGCCTTGAAACTCTTTCGTTGCGTGCAGAGAGACATTCTTCGAATGCGCTCGCTCTAGCTAGATGGTTGAAAGCCCAACCCAGCGTCGCGTATGATTTCTCTCACTTCTATCATCTCACCCTGAACTAACTAAAATTTAGCTGGGTCGAATACTTGGGTCTTGAAGAGCACGTCAGCCATGCAAGGGCTAAGAAACTCTTCCGCGCTGAAGGACAGTTCGGTGGCGTCCTCAGCTTCGGCATTAACGGCACCGCGAAGCAAGCCAGTAGCGTTGTCGATAATTTCAAGGTCCGTCTATTTAATGGTTTGTTTGAATGGGGGCTGATGGGTGGTGTATATAGCTTGTATCTAACCTCGCAAACGTTGGAGACGCCAAATCTCTTGCTATTCACCCTGCTTCGACCACCCATCAGCAGCTTAATGATGAAGAACAGAAAGCTAGTGGTGTCACTCCAGATCTTATTCGTGTATGTTTTATCCTGCAATGGCTGGTTTACTATGTTCTTACCTAGCTTTTAGGTCTCGGTGGGTATTGAAAACATCAATGACATTATCGCAGATTTCGCCGCGTCTTTCAAGGCGTCTGGTCTTGAGCCTAACCAGCCGTGACTCCGTAGCCGTATGTAGAAGGCTTGTAACTGGTATAAACTATGATCAATGTGTTTTTTGACCCGGCCAAAAAGAGGGAGAAAGCGCATGCGGGTCCGGCATTGCGAATTGTAGGCTAAGGTGTTCCTGGAAATGTCTTGACGTTCAGGCGAGTCTCTAGGAGGCTCAGTGGCAAAAGGATTGACGAGAGTGGGATTCGAACCCACGCCCCGAAGGACTAGATATTACAGACTCCAGCAAATGAAGTAGATCCTTAGTCTAGCGCCTTAGACCGCTCGGCCATCTCGCCAGAATATGCAGGTCATAGCGAGCGGAGACCACCATGGCTCAATCACGGTCGGAAGCAGTCTAAAAGCGAAGGTGCGAGCGGGCGCATAATTTGCTGGGAAAGATCAAAAGGCGTACGACCGCGCTCAATAAGCCTTTTACACTCCAACACCCATCTTCTCCTCCAATGCCTTCACTATGTCTTCCCCATCCTCGTCCTCGTCGACTTTCAGAGTGGCAAGCGCTAGCCATCACGTGGGCTGACAGCGGCGAAAATAACAAGGAACGCTAGTGGCTGTGCAAGAAAGCTTTCGTTCCCATGCCATGAGCACCCGTATCTCTTCTGAATCCGCAGCACGACGCTCCTCAAGACAACTTGAGGAGGGGATCCAGAGAGAGCTGGATGCAGACCTTTCACACACTCTGGTGGAGGCCCAGCTACGGAGGAAACTCGATTTGAGGTAATTAAGCCACGTCTGGAGGTATACGGTCCTGTATTAACATCTGTGCTCTCTTAGGATCCTCCCCACCGTTATTCTCCTTAATATGCTCTCTTTTCTCGATGTATGTGGTCTTTTTCGAACCATATCATGCTCTGAGCAGAGACTTACTTTGGAGCGTAGCGTAGTAACATTGGCAACGCAATGGCTGCTGGAATGGGCGATGATCTTGGTCTTTGGACCTATGACAGTAAGTCGTTCCTATTACCTCCGATTTCCCCTTTCTGACGCGTCCAAAGTCAACATTGCCATGTCCATCTTCTTCTTTGTTAACCTGCTGATGCAAACGCCTTCCCCTCTTTTCGTCAAAAAATTCGGTTTCACCATCGTCCCTGTTTCGTACGTCTGCACTCTGCCTCGTCCGTACCCCTCTAATCCGGAGATAGAATCATTCTCCTTGGAGTCATCACTCTCTCTACGTCTTTCGTTCATAACCGGGCTGGTTTCTATGGAGCACGAATCGCCGTTGGAATCGTCGATTCGGTCGCCTTCCCCGGTATTAGTTATCTTTTGACGAGGTATTACCGTCGCGCAGAACTCACTCTCCGAGTGGGTGCCTACATGCTAGTCTCTGCAGCTCTCGCAGGCGGGTGTAAGTGGTCGCCAGTACACCGTTTGGTCCCAAGGTCTCATCCCCTCTTCTTTAGTCGGCGGTCTGCTTGCAGCAGTGCTTCTTAGTGTTCCCCATATTGGTAGCCGAACTGGTTGGCAGAACATCTTCCTTGTTGGTGAGTGTTGCTCCATCGGCGCGGAAAGATCTCTTGACCGCTGACCGTTGACTTCGGTGTTTTGTGTAGAGGGTGTTATCACTGTTGCGTTCGGCATCGTTTTTCTTTTCATCTTTCCCGACCATCCGGAGACAAGCACAATGCTTACTGAAGCCGAGCGAAAGGTGGCTCTCGCAAGGATACGGGCAGATCAGCCCTCCGTGAGTCCAACTGATTTTTTCTCATCTTCCACTTGATTGCTCATATAATCGCCATACAGATTATTGAAACCAAGGAGGGCACAACTGGCAGACTTGTCAAGCGTGCATTCCTTAACATTACAGCTCTCAGCTGCAGCACCTTCTTCGCTTTTGCCAACAGCTCTGTCCAAGGTCTCTCCATTTTCCTGTGAGTTTTGATATTTTGCGCTTCTGTCCTCAGGCATCTTATACTCCATATTTAGTCCCACCATCATCTCTCTCAACTATCCAGCCGCGGATAGCACGCGCATTCAACTTCTCACAGCCCCCATATACATTTGTGGAGGTTCTATTGCTCTTCTAAGCACATGGGGCTGCATTCGGCTTCGTGTACACTGGCCCTTTGTCTTTGCAGGTGGTCTTGCTCTGGTCGCCGGATGTAAGTTGGCTTCATTGATCCGAGTTCTATTCTATTTTTTCCTTATGCTCATTCGACTTCTTTTCTTCCAGATAGCATTTGGGTAGCAACAGACTCTTCGGCGGCCCAAATTCGGTACCTTGCCTGCTTCTTGAACCTTACCGGTGGAATGGTCGTCGGTCCCGTTGCTGTGGGTTGGGCAGGCACCAATGCTTCTCCGGATACCCTACGTGCTATGGTCGGCGCGGTCGTAGCGGCAGGCGGAGGCATTGGATCTTTCGCTGGCGTTTGGGCATACATTCAAACTGACGCGGATACTGGCTACCGAGCTGGCAATTCTTTCAATTTGGTTGCGGGATGTTGTATTTGTGTGGGTAGCGTTGCTGTGATGCTATACCAGAAGCATGAAAATCGAAGAAGGGAAAATGGAGAGAGGGACTACCGGCTTGATAAGCCGGGTGTTGAGTTGTAAGTCTTTTTTGGCCCGCTTATTCCTATCATGTGCTTACTGTTCTTTCTCTTTCTAGCCTCGGCTCATTACATCCTAGTTTCCGGCTCATTTCTTAGTCAATAAAAGTTAATTGAAATCCACTCGTGTATTTGTATTAGTTTTCTTTCCGGCGGACATTCTGTTTTGTTTCCTGTTTCACTTGATACTCTCCCACATTCTTTACCGTGTCTCATTACTAGTCTCCTTCTGTCTCGGTCCTTACCCTGTAGTTCCTCTCTTTCGTACAATTCAATAGATAATAATTTTTCTCTCTCTGTAAAATAATATTTTGTGAGAAAGTGGGCAAACAGGCGCTTGAATGCCGTCGCTTCATTCAAACTCTCATCTTGTCTTATATCAATGACTATGCAAGATCACACCTCTATATCTCCTTCCTTGTCTAGAACTCTGGATCCAGTGCCATATTATTGTCGCTATCTAAGCGACTAAGGCTGACAAAGAAAATAATAACTTGACGTGCAAATACCTCCCTCCAGGCTAGCATTTCATCTACGTAGGTCGAGACTAACGCCCACAGGATGGCTCGGTATTTCCATTTCAGTGGACGTGCAATGTGGCGTTCAAGTCAACGCGCGGTCGTTACTGAAAGAGATGTAGGAATAAAGCACAGGAAAAGCCTTGGCATTGCCCATCCCACCCTACGCGCGTTCTTTCCCACTCTAAGCAGCACTTCAATTGCGCACTTTCTCCTTGTAACTTGAAAACTTTTGACTGTCGGCATGTGTCAAAATCGTCCGGTCGTCCAGCTCCACTTCGAGTTGCGCTCTCTCTCCCTCGTGACTATGCGATCTGGAATGGGAGAGTATAATCTGATGAATATTGAAGGTGCTTCAGATTGGTGGGTTTGGACACTTCCGAGTCTACTCGTAATTTTTTCTTTTGTCTCTTCCTTCTTTGAATAATATCTAATGTAGGTGGAGATAGCATCCTTGTGCTCGAGTTAGAAACACGTCCAACTGCCTTCCTCGTTTGTCTACGTTCATTAACGTCTACGCACTTAGTACTTCGTGACACTCGACAATCTCCGATCCACTCAAAAACCTCCTAGGCATGCCCTTTCTCGAGAACCATAAAAGGTAGAGGTGGTTGTTTGCTGTCCGTTTGTCCCAGCCCTTAAAGTGCGATGCGTTTCCCCTTGGCCATCCCTCTCCTTCTAGGCATAACTCAAGCTCAGCAATATGCTGGCACTGCATTCACCAACAGCCTTGCCACCGTCACAGGTGGCGAAAAAGCGTTCTTCAAAATCTCAGATGGCAATGGAGGGTTCACTACCCTTCTGAACTACTTTTCCCGTGCAACACCGACAGGCCCCAGACCTGATCCTCTTCAACTTCAACGTATAGTCATTGTTCTTACTGGGACGGGTAGAAATGCTTGGGATTATTTCAATTTGGCCAGAGCCGCCTTGTTGCAGGCCAAGGTGAAGAATCCAGCCTGTAATGAGAGTACTGTTGGTATTTTGGCGTGAGTCATCTTCTTATTCTGATTTTTGCTGGCAATTAACGTTCCGTTTTCCCTATAGGCCATGGTGGGCAAACAATGCGGACTTGCCTTCCGGAAACGGCGATGCATTGGTCTGGAATGGTAAGCCAAATACCCGTTTGCGCGAGAACCTGACCGACTCATGTTCTTTGTAGGAGTTGGTTGGTTTAGAGGGGACAACAATATTTTCCCAGCTGTTCAAAAGACCGTCTCCACCTACGACGCTATTGACCAAATCATTCAATATTACGCGAACCCAGCTATTTTCCCCAACATGAAACAGATTGTGAGTTTCCTTGAGTCCTTAATTCTGAGCCGGTGAATTATGTTTCTTAGGTTGTATCTGGCCATTCTCGTGGTGGTCAAATGGCAATTCGCTACGCTGTGACAGGCAAGAATCTTGCTTTGCCTAGTAAACCATTATTTCCCCATACCCACTCTATGATACTGATAACCTTTTTCTAGTCCCAGTAACATACTATGTTGGAAACCCATCTTCCTTTGCCTGGCTCTCATCCACTCGTCCCATTGCTGTGGGTACTTGCACAATCTACGACAACTGGGAAGGCGGTATATCAAACTATACAAATGCGTACAACAATGCCTTCATGCAAAATAAGGCGAATGTGATTGCGCAGTATCAAGCTAGAGACATTGCCTATGCTCGAGGTCTCGATGACTTTGGGAAGAGTGATGATGATTGTAAGCCGAATTCACAAGGGTGAGTGTTTACCATGGCCGAAAATTATATCTTGCTATCTGTCATCCGGGTCACTGAATCAGAAAATGTAGGGCGAATCGTGGTGAAAGGTTCTTTAACTTCTTAACTGCTTTCCCGCCTGATAGTGGTGACACGGTTGATTATGTCTCTGGTGTTGCGCACGAGTAAGTAGATGTCAATTTTTTCGCATGGTCAAAATTTCATGTCTTGTTGCTAGTGGTGCTAAGATGTACGCTTCGGAGGCTGGACAGTATCGCATTTTGTGAGTCACTTCTATGCACACCTCGTATTCTCAAGTGTACTGAGATTGTGGATGCATAGCTTAGATAATTTTGATGGTGCTGGACATCGCCATGCTGATTTTGGAACGAGGTCGGTGTTCCTTGGAAAGCTTCTTGGTTGATGCTGATTCCGGTTGTTCTTTCTTCAGACAAATTCCTGGTGATGACCCTCACCCTGTATCGTATGTTTTATCATCGTTCT